CCGACACATGATTTTCTCTTTCAATGCTGCTCAAGCAATAATTTTTATCAAATAAGTTTGCAGTTGAAGAAAACGCCACTTCAACAGTGTCACTGGCTCTTCCATGACTGGCCAACCTTCTGCTGTCTGCAACAAACAGCAATTCGCCAGGGAGCCGAGAAAGAATGAGCAATCCAACGTCGTTTGACCACGACCGTGTTGGTTACCACATCCCTGCCCCCTTTGCCTGGAACACCAGTCACGGGCTCACTTTTCCCCATCCCTTGGGGATCCAGTTGTACCTTCTCAGAAGGTATTTGGACCTATTTGAACCCGACCCGGGTACCTACATAACAGTGCCTCCACTCACCTTCTGAGGTACCACTGGATCCCTTAGGCCGATGTGAGGGCATAGAAGTCGGTAGGATCGACTTTTTGGGTGATGGCCACGACAGGGGAGATCGGTTTCCATGTCCGAGCCCTTGATGCTCGAGGGCGACAGTGATCGAAGGGCGAGGAAGTGATCGAAGGGTTCAGGATCTGCTGGCCGTTGAAACTGGGAAGTGTTTGTTCTCTCACTTCAGCATTGAATGATATTTAGCAACTTCATCTTCAACCAAGTAGATTAAGTAGATTGATTCTGATACATTATATGTCCCAGCAGAAGTCAGAAAATCACCCATTGACGACCCAACAACACCAACAAGCCATTGAATTCAATCCATTCTGCTACATCTTTCAAGTTAAACATGCTTGTCATGAGTCAAAACTAGAGAACAAAAACAAAAAGCACATGCAGGACGCACTCCGAGAACCTCTCAAAACACTCTGGCTGAAGGCAACAATGATCCAAGCCCTTCATCCAGCGAAACCGATGCCACCCGGCCATTCCGGTGGGCACACCTACGCGAGAGCTCCGGCAAGTACGGCCCAAGTGGCTGTACCTCAGGGGCCAGCCACGTGGGTGAAGGGGACGTCCATCTCTTGTTTCAGGGACTTGCATCTAATGGCCACACACTAGGACCAGAATGCAACAGAGTCAGACTACGGCCACAAAGAACATGTCTACTAGAAGGATGTGGTGCCCTTGGCCCCTTCTGAGAGCTAGTACGCGTCCATTCGCATACCATGGAGAAAACCACACATGTGACAGAGAGCAACCAGTGCATTTGGCCACACTGGGCACGATGGAAATCAATGTAGTCATGCAATCCTTTCCTTGAGGTGATAGTCAAGATTCTTTCACATAGCTTTGCAAATACGATACATGTATTAATTACTATACATTAAACACCAAATATATATGTATATGTCCATTCCGAATCCATTCCTCCAGAAAACAAACCGACACAAAGCCCAGGCCATCCATCGAAATATCAATCGCTAGACATATCAAGACATATCCCTTTGAATCTTTGGCGCCTTTTGCTCCATCCGCTTTTTTCCACCCACGAGCTTCCACACGGACCATGAAGAACACAGCAGCCTAGAGCGGCCAAGGGGCGGAGAAGAAAACGGGCGAATCGTTTGATGTGAGGACGAAGGAGGCTGATCTGGTGCTGTGGCTTGTTTCACGGTTTACGGCTGCTCCAGAACTACGGCTGCGATTGTAAAGCCAACACTTACGCAGGGTGGGAAACGAAGCCAACACACCGTCCATCATCCTAGGGCTCCTGGCCTACCTTCTGAGAAAATGGTTGGGGTGGGTTTTTTTGGGGGGCTCTAACCACCGAACTTGAGGATATGATCAGTTGGTCCTTCAATGCCAGGCCATGAGGACCTCAGTGCCAGGCCCTAAGAAGCTGGACAAAGCGAAGCGCACAAAGGTATGCCTGGCGAAGCACCGCGCGCCAGTGACCGTGCGCGGTTTCGCGGTTTGTGCTAGTCAGTGACCGTCTTGACAGGATTGATCAAGCGGTTGTTCCTTCCAATCTCTTCCAATTGACGTTTGTTTGGCTTCTCTTTTCCACTTGTTCACTTGCCGTTCCCTCTCTTCCCTTCGGCGGTTCGCACGTCATGCGAGATATCCGCATAAACGAGCAAAGGCAGGCGCAAAGGGATCATGAAACCTGCCAATCGCATCACAAAGCGCTTTCGTGTCTTGCAAAGGCTGGAGGTTCAAATGTTTCGGTGTGCCTTCGCAGGAACTGCCCGTTGGCATAGGTGCTGAACCTTATGATGAAAGTTTTCCGTGGAAACCAAGACGGTGCAACATGTTCTGCCATCCCTTCCAAGAACGTGCACATGCATATCCACATGGCATAGGCAGGCGCAATGTTTTGCTTGCTTTAAAAAGGCACTTGGGTGAATGATGGCAGTCTACGCACAAGGCTGCTTGTGTTATACTGTGATTCATCTTCTGTTCAACTGCGCCAAGAGTAAACAATCCCGAGCTCTTGGCACGGCTGACGTTGAAATCCACAGCGTTCCAACCTCGAAGAGAAGTTCTCTGGAAATCATCCTCCCATTGAGAACTTCAGGATGTGTCTAGCGTGACCACTGGCGGTACAATAAGTTTTAGCAACCTCTGTCTCCCAAATTGGTAGAACTCTAAACGCTATAAACATCTAAACAAAAAAAAGGCGGTCCAATTAACGAATCTGCAAGGAGGCCACGGCCATTCTTGAAATAATTCTCAAACCCCCAGGGCCCCAACCACATCCTCAAAAGGTGGTTCGAACCCCCTGGCACCCACCGCAACCATCTTCTAAACGGAGGGGGCGGCCAGGAGCCCTAGGGAACAACACTCCTCCAAGTCATCCTCCTGCGCACCCAAACCCATCTTTTTCTCCACCACTCTGCCGCCTAGGCCTTGTTGGATAGGTGGAGGCCTCTCCGGCATCCGGAGGCCGTTGTGTGTGTCAGACGACGCACCGCACAAAAGGCACCTGAAACGAACGGCACCTGCTGCTGTTATCGGTACTCCGATTCCTGGGCCCGATTTCTGGGCCTTGGTGTTCAGTCTGAAGTGATCCAGAATGCAATGGTGACGACAATGAGATTATGGATCGGGATAGAAGTGGCACAATAAGAAAGCAACCATGTAGGATGTAACATGAGGCTATCTTTGCCTGAGGTTATGCCAAAAGTAGCTCAAGCCGTGCCCACACAATGCAACCATCTCCAAGACATGTAACACATGTTTGAAGGGGATGATGTTCACATTATGGCGATGTTGGTGTCGTCCATTACACAACCAAAGCGTTCCTCCTGCTGTAAGGAGGGCCTTGCAACGGCCAATAAAAAGGCGCACAATGGCGCTACCAGCTAGTGCAAACAAAATCAGGAATCTAGCAACATGTTCTTTGGATTCATCTAAGGCCTCAAGTCACTAATTCATGAAGCATCAATCATTAATTTAATGAAAGAGGTGAGCCTACAAGAGTCTGTCGAGTAGTGACCCACCCCCGGCAAACACGGGAGATGCAAGATCACTGGACTTGCCACAGCTGGTTGGTCATGCATCTTCGTCCATCTTCTTTGGATGTCCATTTTTCGGCGCCACTACCCTTCAGGCAGCTGCGCATTGCGCATGTTTGGATCCCGCCGCACCGGTCCCCGCATGGAGCACGAGCGCGCGGGCTTAGCATCTCTCCACATGGCCCAGGGCTCAAGGTGTGAGAATTCATCCCATTTGCGTAAAGATGCCCTCCCCCAAACGAATCCCATGGAACCTGAGGTGCTCGACCCGGTGGAAGGAAAACCATTTTTCCGAATACCAACCCAATGGATTTGGGGTTTTATGTGGACCTGTGCGGAGGAGTAAATGTATATATATATATATATACGCATGATCTCTATAGAACTAATTTATTGTGCAATTGGGTTCAATAGCTTCTTGGGTACTTCATCCAAACCAGGCTCCTTGCCTAGAGCACTGCCAACATCTAGGCACCTTCCGCAAGAAGTACCCACCATACCATGCTGGAAGCGCAGAACGTCCGGGTGCCAAACCGGTGCGGCCCAGAACTTAAAAACCATGTCAATCACCGGCTGCTGGCGTTGAAAAAGCAACGTGCACAGCTGGTCTTCAAATGTCTTGGTCTTCAGTTTTGAATATCGACATGGTCACAGCTGTTTTGAACAAAAACCACTGTTTCTGCTGCGTGGGTGATGATCTCACGATTTCTTGACAGCTGGGCCTGTTGGGCATCTGGGGCCTCTCTGGTTCCAAACCCCGGAAGCTCCACGGCACCAAAACCCGTGACCGGAGAGTCCGAAGATGTTCCAGCAGCAAGTCGTGGAGCTTCGTAGCTTTCTGGAAACTCAGGACATCAGGACATGCGCGGATCGAGTTGACATAACGTCCCAACACCCCAAACAAACATGCTATATGGATATTCTTCCATGATTCTTCCATGTACTAGTTGCAATTTAACCGCCTTACGCAGCACATCATCTGTATGTGTTGAGACTATTCTAACTAAACAGTTCGTTGTCCAAATCCAAAAGCCCTGTTGGGTGCAACACTTCTGTCTTGAAGGTCTTAGATGGTCTTTTTCATGTTCATCCACCCAGGGATGTCGAAAAATGGTATTAGAAGAGGAAGAGGGGTCAATTAACAGTCAATGTTTGAGTCTTTGGACCAGCGCAGCAACGTGTCGTGGAGGATCCTGTAGTCCGATCAATTAATGCTGTGATTTTTTGGGACATGGTATTGGAGGACAAGCACAATCCCCGGGGACAGTCATCTACTCTTCCGGCTTCTTGCCCTAGGGCCCCAGGGCTCCAACTGCCTCTGCAGAAAATGGTTGGGGTGAGTGCCAGGGGGGTCTAGAAGCATGTGGAGTGAGCTTCCACTAGCATGCCCCAGAATTGACAGCCCTTCTCTTAGAATGTGTTTCCGGGATAATCGCTGCTTCCTGATCGAGCAGCATCCTCAATTCATTGACACCATCGAACGATTCAATGAGTATATCCAAGGCTGCCATAGAGCATAGTCAACTGTGCCAACACACGAACAACCAACGCCAGCATCGTCCTTCTTGGGACTCTTCGTCCGATTCGAACATTCTTCGTCCTCAGGTCGTTCCAACAGAACCTGCAGCGCTGGCCACGGCTTCGGCCACGCACGACGTGCTTCGGCAGCTCAGCTGACCAAATCTGCGGATGATGTGTGGAGTCGGTTGTTATCTTGGGCAGCTCTGCCCGGAAATGTTGCCCCCAGGCATAGAAGGGCATAGCTACCCACAAGTGGCTCAGTGGCAATCTTTGAGTGTGGCTCAAACATACCTGGGCTTGTTTGAAACAATGTTGCTGAAGAAAAGCAAACCGGATATTCTTTTAATAGTGATGAACTATCTTCAGTGGTTGATCTGGTGCCAGTGAGCCAGTGATATGCCATGAGCATTCATTCATTACTGGTCATAAGCAATGTCTCTCCCCCTCTATATCAGCTTTTTGCAATCCAGAGGTCGCAGCACCAACCTGGTCATACATTCCGGTTTGCATCACAGGTTTGTCTGCCTTGGATCCAATCTAGCCACATACATTCCCCTGTTTTCTCCCTCCACCTCCTCGCCCCCTTCACATAATTTGCATGTTTCTGGAGCGGAGCATCAACATCATCAACATCTAACATGCAAACATGACATGGGACCTTTTTTTACAGTAGCATATCAATGACAAACCCATATATTACAGTACATATGCCATATCTATATATCAAGTAATAGCATTCTTCCGTTGATTCTATGTATCTTCTGCAGTTCTTCAAACGGACATCTCTCCTCTCCTCTCCAGCCATGCGGTTTCTGCCGGCGCATCCGGCCTTCCACCTCTCGCGGGACCTGGACCTGCGATCCGCCGGAGGAACCTTTTCAATTCAATACCGGACAAGCAGTATATCCCCCCAACATCCCCCAACATGTTATAAAGCTGTTACTTTGATTCAGTAAGCTGGGCAAAGCAGTATATCCCCCAAACTTTGATTCAATCAGCTGTTACTTTGCAATCCAATTCTCACCAATAACCAAACCATCCAAAGTGGGTGGTGCTGGATAGGACCGGACAGGACAAGTTGTCCTTTTTTTCCTATATAGGCAATACTTTCACGTGGTGTCTGAGATGATCCTGGATGTTTTCTCTTCAAGGTGTCTTGGATGTTCAGCCCAGGAGCCTGGATAAAACAAGGACGATATCATGCAGAAGGGGATTTACCGAGTTCGGGAATAAGAACAACCCCATCTGCAGAACCAGGGTGGAACTCCGCTTGCCTCAACCTACTTCTTTCAGGACTTGTCTCGGAGAGTGAGGATGGTCCAAGGTCTTCATCAAGGGTGCTTCAAAAACAATTGATTTCGACCTGTTTCGAAGGTCAAAACTAAGAAGTATGTTTCGACCTGTTCTTTTCTTGCGAAGCTTTTGCCTTTGAGACTTTGGGGGTGTGGATTTTCGCTCTTCCACTTCAAAGCACGCACAACTTGAACACAGACTTTTAAGACCTGCCAGTCGTGGTGCTACCAACCGGTGCCACCATGGGTGCGTGCGACCAACGGTCACTGCCGAGTCCACGTGCCCCGAGTCCACGCGCCGGTGCGACAGCACCGGTGGAGCCGCGGCGAGCCGGCTCGGCCTGCAGTTGTTCGAGGCACGGTGAGGAAATGCTCTTTCCACCTCGGTGAGGCAGAGTGAAGGTGGGAGGAAGGACTCCTTTTACCCCAAAAAACAGTTAGTATCAGTTAGTCTGATATCAACTGCCTCAGTGGCCATCTACATAGTACGCCAAAAAGCCAGGTGAGCGCAATGGTCCTTTCTGTGGTCCTAGGCTTCTCCAAGTCAAATCAATGCCCTGTAAAAGTGACCCGAAAAGGATTTCCTTTACTTCAGTCGGTCAAAATATAGTCTTTGGACTTCTAGGGAATGTGTTGCAGCAAAGATGCCAAGCAATTTCTTGGCCAACGAACGCCTGGCCCACAGGTTTCGAGCTCGGCAAAGCTTCGAAGAGTGGGATCAACGTCGCGTGTCGCCCCGTAAAGTAGCATTGATTCTGAATTACCCATCATGATCATTGATCATGATCATGATCATCATCATCATCATCATTCAGTATCATCCACCTGGCCCGGAACCTCTCCGGAAGTTTAGATGGTCTTTGACTCAACAAGTCCTCTCTTCTTGGTCCTTGTCTTTGTGCCTCCTTGTAATTGTTCAATCCATTCCATGCTGTTCAGTGGAACGCCGACATAGTCTCACGCCTACTCCTCTACAGTCGGTGCACTCACCCGCCTTAGGCGCAGTTGACGCTCCTTCTCTTGCTGCTCCTGGCGAAAATCTCTGAGGGACATCTCCGAAACCTCCAAATGCAGTAATCCCACCCAGGGCGGGTTTGGACGGTTCTTGTTACGCATGGTTTCAGATCTCATTCATGGTCACTCTGTTCAATGATAGTGTTCATTAGTTTCGCCTTTTTGATTGCTCAGCTTATTGAAACACCGTGCACCCAACTCCCACTGTCTGCCCGCCTTGCCCTCGCGCAGGCGGCGCTTGTCGACGAGGTCTTGCAACTCCTGGACGCACAAAATGCTTGGAACACGCGTAATTCAGCGATGATTGACACCAGAAAAGTCCAGGAAGCAAGGAAACAAAACATGGAAAGCCGATTGCACCCTTGGAAAACGATAGATAACACGTCGGCCTCATTCTCCAAACAATTGCCATGTGTTTTCCAGTTCCCCAAAGCCGGTCACCGTACCGTCCTGGTCTCGGCGCGCGCTGAGCCGGAGACTTGGGGCATGGCGTACAGGGCCTGGCGGCCAGGACGTGGACGGCGGTTTCGTTCAGCAGGTCCAAGCAAGCACGTGCTGTGGCATGTTTTGAGGCAAACTTGCATCTCCATCCATTTAGGCCAAGCGTAAGGACTAGCGATTTTGCTCAACTGGTGCAAGTTACATTGATGTTTTTAGGAAATTATTGCACCCTGTCTAGGTTGTCACCGAAAGCAGATGTCTAATGTACATAGATTGTGAATCTATAATATGTGAAACCCCATGCTGATATATGATTCGAGAGCTTTCAGGGGATCCACGCGGGCGAAAAACCAGCCCCCCACAATAGCTGGATCATTCCAAGCTCTTCGCAACGGCCGCCCGCCTGGCGAACACTTGGGTAGGAGTTTCCGACCATCCACGCTGAAGTCCAAGCCTTGTGAGGCCTGGAAGGTACGTTGGATGGTTGGATGAAGGCCAACAGTGAATGGTAGCTTTGGAGGCTTGCGTGATCTTTAATGGGTCCAGTCCGTCGTAGAACAGGGGTCTCCCTGCAACGGACGCTCTACAAAAGAGAAACATGTCAAATGTGGTATGTATAGTTGATAAGTAGTCAATGTTTAGGGTGGACCACGCATTTTGATTCATCACGAACATCTAAACCCAAGAAATGGCCATCCCTTATTTTGATGTGCCCCAAACCAAGCGCTAGGGGGAGCACATGTCATCTGAGTGCCCGGGCGGTCTTGGGCAGCTTCGGGATCCTTGGGCAGCTTCGGGACGATCGGCTTTCCCAAGCTTGACCAGTCTGACTTAGCACAGCAAGTGGGGACTTAGCTTAGAGATCCCCTGTGGGACGACACGGGACGACCCCAAGTGAAGACAAGACTGTCTTCAATACGCATCAAAACGAGGGATTCTCTAGATCTTCTCAGTGTCACAGTGTCAGATTCCAAAGCTTCTCCAGGCTTAATTAAGAGGCATATACATGCATGTCTTCTCTACAAACCTACGACCCATTTCGTGCCGTGTGGCTGAGCTCCTCAGCTGATGAACAGCAACACTTCAAAGTTTCACACAGCTGATGAACAGCAACACTTCAACCAAGCGTCTCAGGGCCACGGTAAAGCGGCTCGAAATGGAGGTTGTCCTCGTCCGTCTTGGACCTGCTGAAGCAAACATACCACAAATGCCATGGTTGCTCGAAACATCTCCCAAACAGCGGCGGCAAAGGTACTAGTAGCAAGTATTTAGGATTCACAACATGTTCATGAGGAGTTCTGCAGTTCATGAACCACTTCATAGTTGCCCTCTCTTCATGGCCAAAGAAAACCAACCCATGCCGCTGCACCCCAACCTTATCTGCTCGGCACGGATCCCACGAGCCGCACGTGCGAGGTCGCTCGTCCGCCTCTCGGGGTTGGAGCTGGGTGCATCGAAGATGGTGCGGAAGGCCTGTCGCAGGCCTCGGTGCCGGCGGTGTCGCTTGTTTGGCTCGGTGAAACCGTTTCACCGTGGCCGGTGGTGTTGAGCACGTGATGTGGCCGGTGAAATGGTTGCGTGATCTGATTTGGAGATTGGACCGATGGGATGGTGCATCATGGTGCATCCTATGAACTAGTAGCTTGCATGCACTGGGGATGCATTTCGGTAGCAAACTGAGGAGCCTTAGACTAACTTCCTGACACAGCTAGGATCAGCTACTGTAGCTGATTTGTTCCAGTCAAGGCCTTTTCCTTTTTGGTGGTTATACAACGCCCCCGCTTCTGGCAATAAACAGTCATTCCAGGTCATTCCACCACCACAGCCTCTCAGCCCAAAAAGGTTCCCCAAAACTCCTGGCCATCTCCCATCAAATCCCAAACATGATTTTGTTATATGTTGTGCCACCCTTGTATGAAATGTTTTCAAGAACCAGGTAACCACTTGGGTTGAACCCAAACATCAGGCCTCCAAAAACGCTGACATTCCCTACTTCACGCCAAGACTGAGCTCTTTGGACTACTACTTTTGGAGTGCTCCACTCCACACCATCACCACTCCCATCACCACTCCCATCGGTCTCAACGGTCTCAACACCATCAACACCTCCCAGCTCCACTCGGCTCCTCCCCCCGGGTGCCCCGGACAGGTGTCGCACAGGCGGCTGGTGACCGGTCCGCTCGCTTGGAGCATGGGAATGTCCTGTTCGGCTCTCGATGTTCGCTCCACGCACCGAGGCACCGGTTCGTTCGTTCGGAATCTGAGGTGTTTGCTCCAGGTGGTGAAACGCTTTGAGGGGTGGTTAAGCTCCAGGAAGGCAAAAAGGAATTTAAACAACGAAGGCAATTCGTGTTCCATGTCAAAGAGTTCTTAGAAAGCTTCTGGCTTTGAAGAACAAACTCAAAGAGTTCTTAGAAAGCTTCTGGCTTTGAAGAACAAAAACGCTATAGCTGTATGGAGAAATCTTCAAGGATTTCTGAGCATCTGTAAAACAATTGTTCTCCATTTGCTTGAGCTATTCACTATCGAGACCCATAGTAACCTTAAAGCAAAGTGAACACGGCACCGCAATCTTTGCGTTCGGGTGGTTGGTTTTGAAAACAGTCATGGTTCCGGAAAAGACGTGCCCCCACGAGGTCTGTGAAGTCACGCGCGACGTCTCTCTCAGCTGAAAACGCGTCAGCTGCTCAGGCGTTTTGCTCAACTGAGCAACCAGTGTCTGTCTACAGGACCAAAGTTGGAGAATTTCATGAGAAAACCGGAGCGTGGCCCTCTAAACCATTTCTGAACCTGACCTGTTTGTCTTGCAGTGCGCATCATAGGGCTCTTACTCCACAGTCAACCAAAACGGATGCCCCTGGCAGGCTGTTGCTATCCCTGAGTTGAGTCTTCTGTTCCCAAGCCATTTGGACGAGCCACATTCACTTCCAATAGCCAAACGTTGTAGTTCTCATCCACCTGCAGGTCAGGAGGCCCGTCAAGAGGTCTGGGCAAATCACAGAAATGGACATGGGATGACCTGGGTGTACACCCTCCCTCCAACTCAACAAACATGGAAGTGAACAATCCCATCGTCTTTCCAGAGGCCACGCCATCCACGTAACCATGATTGTTGAAGAGACAGCAAGACTTGATCCATGAACCTTGGACAATCATCAGCATTCCTGAAGATCCCAATGAGAAAGACATTTAATGTATTTCAAAGCGCACCTCTAGCCGCTAGCCAGTAGCCCTTGAGGCCCTTGAGCCACATCACATCTTCTGAATCACATTCCTTCCGAATCCTTCTCATGTCCATACCAGACCCACAATCACTCATCTGTCCAAACCATATATATATATACAGTATATATACAGTATATCCTTCAACCTCAGGTGAGGTGGGCAGCCGATCCCTGAAGAGGCGCACCATGAAGTCATAACCGAACAGCTGGAAGCAGCAGGAATGATTGTCCGACCTGGCGCAAAACCGAAGGTCGCTGCTTTTCAGCGCAGAAACATCTCCAAGCAGTGCCAAAAACAACCCCCAAAACTCTACACTCCCTGAAATAATCCATGGTGAAGTGGAGGGCATGGCCCCCCTTGGAGAATCACTTTCCTCTAAAAACTGGTGGTTCTACACTCGCATGATTATTTCAGGCAGTGGAAGCCTCCAAGACCAAGTCATGACTATGGTGACTATACTTGAACCCACAAACATCACAAACAGAACTCTTGGCCAACACCACTCTTAAAGACCCCCTCGGTTTCCTTGGAACTATCAGTTATACGATGTAGTTCCTCTTCTAATTATTAAGTTCAAAGTTTCCGACACATCTTTAACTGTCCGATCAAAAAAAGGAAAACAACTCATTGTCCTTCCCCCGCACCCTCTCCACTGGCCAGCCACTTCCCCCCCCGACCAAACTCAAACTGCTGCATTCCATCCAAAACGTTGGACTACTCAACTGCTCCCAAGGGGCTTCGTGAGCACCTCCGCCACACTCAGCAGCGAGGCCACGACGATCTGCTGCATCGCGGGGCGGATCTGCGGGCGGAGTGGGGCGGCGATGTTCGGATGGCGATGTTGTCTGAATAGAGGCCATTGGATACCTTATTCGATCTGGTTCTTAACAGAGTGCCAAAAACAGCCATTCAACACAATTCAACATTGAATCAACAACATTGAACAACCATGGCCTGTGTGACTCCAACTTCAGAACGACTCTTGAATAATTTGATCGTGAATGTGGCTGTCCCTCTCCACGCCTTGTCTTTCCACACATCGTAGCCGGCCTTTTCCAGCAACAAGGTCCGATATCGCTCCTGCAGACCCCGCTGGAGCAGGTTGGCGCTGAGTAGTGCCATGTTCCAATTGCCTCACAAGGCCTCAAGACTTAGGTGCGTGGACCTCGAGACTTAGGTGCATGGAAGAGAACATTTCAAGAGGCACCTGTACTTGAGGTTGGTGGCCTGTGAGTTTCTGCATAGAAGATCACCAACTTCTCCCATTGGCCACGGCCCATGGACTTCTTTCAAGCACTATGCGGGCGCCACGCCACGGCTCGATGGTCGTCCCGGGCTGGTCCTGCGTCCATTGACATCGCCAATCCTCAGGCCATGTCTGTGCCAGGTGGCTCCAAAATGCGGTGGTTACGGGAGGCTTGTGGACCTGTATACATTCCAGGTATAGCTCAGTGACCATGGGGATCTGTTCTGAACTCCCCGACATGCGCCAGCCTAGTGCACATGTCACTGCAAAGGAAAGTCTCTCCTGAGCCACCAGTGGTGGAGAATCTAATTATATAGGAGGATTTTGAAGGGCTATACTTGATCTGTGTAGAAACTTCATGGGCAAAACACTTCCTTGCGGCCATGGCTCCTCATCATCCGGATTGAAGTTCGGATGGTTCTTCATGATCACCGTGTGGGTGAGGTGCTTAAAGCCTGAGTTGGACCAGCAAGCTGAGCCGGGTGGCACAGCTGGAACGCCACTGCAGCGAACCTTTTGATATACTTAATGTCATTTTGCGTCCAGCCTCCTGGGTTATAATCAAGCATTAATCAAAGATATCCATTTCTTTCAGCTCCTGCAGTGGTCTCAGAATCGCCGTCAGATTCAATGAATAAACCACCAGCTCCTACACCGTTCGCATGTCCTCCTGAGAAGTCCCAGAATTCCAAACCTCTTCACGTCACTAAAGCAACCTCAAGTATCTCAAGTATACAGTATAAATCATATGAATATAAACAATGGAACCCATGACCTCTACCCACATGAAACCTCAACTCTACTATAGAAACAATATATCGCGTTCAATTGGTCATGCCCTCCCCATCTTCCCACACCAAACCGTTTGGACCAACGAGGACGTCGACCGTCGTGGGCCATGGAGTGGCGATCCCCGAAGTCGTCCAAGGAGTAGTCCTCTGCGGCGATCCGCACGTAGCCTCGGACGGGTCGAAGGCGAGGAAGGTAGGGGTGGGCACGACTTGGATTTTTGCTGAGAGGAACTCAACAGCAATAACCCACCATCGTGCTGCCATTTGCCGCCTTCGAGCATCATTGCCCATAAGGACATATTTGTGCAGAGTAAGTACTTTCTGAGAGGATCAGACCTCAGGATGGTGACCCATTCAAAAGCAGATCTTAGAGGCTGGGCATTTGCCTAAAGCAAATGAGGTATGAGTGTTGGACAAGTAGGCACCAACAATATGTGGTTCAATGTGAGCCTCGTCATGGTTTTTGCTGATTGGGTGATCTTAGATTTCCCGGGTCAATCACTCTGGCATGGGGAAATACATGATGGAAGTTATGATGGACAATCGAATCCGTCTGTTTTTCCTGGGTTAATTTTCCTGGCAGGGGAATCAGTATACTGTATAATATACAATCGAATCCGTGTTTTATTTGTTCTCCCTTGGAGTTCTATCTTCAGGAAAAGTGAATGATCGCAGTTTTCGTCGCGATCATGCTCATGCCTTTCCTTGTGTCCACATATACACAGGGTCCAGAAAAGCATACCAGCAGTTCCGGAGGAATGATGTTTAGTGCCTTCTCGAGAGTGGGAGTGGATACTTGAACTGCTGGTACAAACATGTAGTTGCACACATATGTATATACAGTAAGAATATCATTACACAGGCTCTTGCCCGTGAATCTGAAGATGTCCAACCATTGATCAGGCGGACGCTGGGTGTGCCCAACACTCGCTGAAGAAGTAGATGGTGAGGGGGTTCAACGAGGTGACCATCGCCCACTGCCGGATGTCGTGCTTTCGGGCCCCACCAATCCTCAAGAGCGAGCCACGGCATGGGCACGCACGCAAAGGCACGGTTGTGAAGGGAAAGAAGGGGGGTGGTGGTGAGTGGTGGCTTGAAAAAACCGGGGCTGACTGAAGGCTGAGCGTTTCCGATAGATTCTAGAAGGGCCAAAGTGGCCAAAGAACGAAAGTACCGCACCAAAGTAAAACAAAACATTCTTTTAGATGTGATTCATCCATCTATCCGAGTATAAAGAAACATCCTGCGGAAACTGATTACTGCCAGCTTGCAGGGTTATATATATATATATTTATAATATGGTTAATCTACACCCAAACACCAAATGCTACTCCAACTGCTCTGATTTGCGCAACCTCCCTCTTACTCATCTGTACTTCACTGATTCCCCTGTCTAAGCCACACACTCAGCACGTGCCAAACGCACCAAGAGTGCGCTCAACGGCCATCCAGGCCGAAAACGGCCATGAAGCATGCAGGTCCAAGGAAGGAACTGCATGCCAACAGTATTACAAAATGTATACAAGCAATCTACTGGTCGACCTGCTTGTTGCTACAAGCATTGGATGGATGAGTCCAACAATGAGTTAAGGTATTTCATGGAAGATGTCCTCTCAAGAAAAGGTTCTTGAACAGTGACAGCCTCTTGGAGGCACGCCTCTTACAAAGTCTTAATGCCTTACGTAAATGCACTTACAATAAATGATGCTGTTCACCTTTGCAGTCGAGCGTCAGCAAGGGGTTTTCAATGTATTTCCTCAGGCATGGTCGATGGGCCGATTTTTGGAGATGAGTTCGAAGCTCCAAGCATTTGCGCCGTGCAGTGAGCATTTCCAGAAAGAATCGGACATGTTGGGGAAAGAACGCAACTGACTCGTCGCCACTAGGAGTGGATGGGGTAAGACTTCGTCTTTGACATGCACCCAAATATTTATGAGTCAGCTCGGGAGCATGCGGCCAAAGCGGTTGTGTGGTCCGTCCTTCTTTTAAAGGGCCCCACATTCGAGTTCTTGCATTTTTTCCGGCTGCTGAAACACCCTCTGAACACCAACAAACCCAAACACTGGGACTGCCATATTTGTATTAGGCCAGGGCGTGGTCAAATGATCGGCCTCTATGCCAGTCCCACATGGGTCGTAGTATCTCTCTCATCTCTCAGCCAGGCCTTTCGTGTCTCTGAAGCCGCCCGGCTTCGCCCGCCCGCCGAAAGGTCCAAGGCACTGACACACATAGCTGCAGCTCTTGCCCCGCGCGTGTCTTAAAAGCCGTTCCAAGTCATTTTCCACCTGGGCCGCCGGAGACGCGGCTGGAGACGCGCCGGCCGAGGTGTGAGACGCGGAGGCCGAGGCTAGACTTGTTGGGTGAGATGAAGTCAGAAAGGGTGCAGTAAAGGAAAGGCGGAACATTGTGACACTCCCTGAAATCATCGTTCTGTGAATGGAACACTGGCTCCGAGTTCGGATGACGCTTTCAAGTGGTCAAACGCCACTGGTTTACTTATGATATTCAGGGAGTGTAGGGCGGGCAACTGGAGGAGGTTTACTTGTACTTCACAGGGTGTAGTAACTCCATCGTTTCCCATGGTGCACTCTCCCCCAGGATCAGGTCATGCCTCTCCCCTAGCGGTCCGGAAGCGCCTCGCTCTCGCGCCTCCAAATGACTCCCGGTTGCGGCGGGTGGGACTAGCCGCTCGGCTAGGCGCAGGGGTTGGTGGCTGTGATTCACTTCTCTTCAGCATTCCGCCACAAACGATGCTGGTGGAGGCACGAGGCGACGCGGAGCCCGCGGAGCCGGCTGGCTGGCACGCATGAGGAAGTGGCATTGTCCACCCTGAACACGAACTCCTTACTGTCACCGCCCACCTTCGCGTAAACTTCTGCCCACCCCAATATGTCCCCCCTTCTATCGGCCGTCCTTCAAACACACCCCTCCCAGCTCTCCCCCCCCCCCACAGCTTCACCCGAACATGAAAGCATCTCCTCCCACACCGCCCAGCGCGGCTCAGCACCGGTCTTTTGCTCGGCCGCCGGTCGTTTGGTCCTCTGGCGGGCGATGGCGCGCCGCTCAGCGCAGAAGCTCCACGTTCACCGCTTCGGCCTTGCCATTCCGCGTCTCCACGGTGAAGGTCACCTGATCCCCTTCCTGCAGGGTCCTCCTCGGCGCCGTTCTCAATCAAGGTGGCAGGGGGATGCACGGGTTTTTGGAGGAATACGGGGAGAGTGGGAGTGGATCGGAAGAGCAAGCATTCTAGGTATCAATCTTCGGGCACGTTTTTTGGGCGGAGGGATGAGGGAGTTGAGAGTCAGGGAAGAAGTAATGTTGTGAGCCTGTTTGCATATAAAGCAAAGGGGGATACTGCAGCCACATCCACATCTGTCAGTAAATTTCAACTCAGCTCGTCCCTCAACTCTTCCAAACTCGGACAGGACTGCAACTGTATACAGTACCCAGACACTCCATGGGACTGCCATATATGCCTACATTGACCACCAAAACAACCCCAATGTAGGCATATATGGCAGTCCCATGGAGTGTTTGGGATATAGGATAGCTAGAGTCCGCAACTAAGAGACTCCTATGGTCCCCAACTAAGAGACTGTTTCTCACTGTGTCGTCAGTGTCGTTGTAACTGAGAGCCGCACCCGATGATCAAGCACACACTCGTGATGAACATCGAGCTTTCGCGGAGCTTTCGCTCTTCAACTTTCGACTGACAAGGAGGGTCCCAAACATGATCAAAGAACGTTCCCCCCTGGCAGAACCACCTAAGGACCTAGACTCCCGAAAACTAACATGGACCCTGAGAATGGCACCCCTCCTCTACAAACCAGTGGTTTTCAGGGTCCATGTAAGTTTTCAGCCGGGCAATGGCTTTCCCACAAGAGACTTGCAAAGCTACTGGCCCAAAAGTGCTCATTTAGGGTGGGTTGTCCTGCCAGGAAGTGAAAGTGCTGGCTGAATACCCCTCAAAACATTGGATGCGTGTCACCTCTCTCAACTGAACTCTTCACCACCGCCAGCTCTTACTCGTTCATCCAAAACTAACCTCTACTGGTACCCCAGCAGCTTCACAGTTCTTTGACGTTTCTTTTGAAGTCCTTGGAAAGTCCAAAATCTTCACCATCTCTTCCAACATCGGCAGAAGTGGCAGAACATCTCATTTTCTGCCTTGCCTCCCTGAAAATTCCTCCCAAAACCTCAGTCCTAACCGATGCTTCCAAGAAGCTCCAGGTGTCGATTGGAGCGTGCACCCACGAACAAATCGCCCTCGAAGGCCGCCGAGGTCACAAAACCCCAGTCACCCCGGAAGCTCCTGGCCCACTGCTGTGCAGCCGCGTCTTTTCAGCGTTTTGGGTGAAAACCTCTCTGGGTGAAAACCAGCGACTTCATGTACTCCTGTGAGTTCAGCATTTCCTCCAAACAAATGAACAATGTACAGCTCACCACCTCACCATGTACTCAACATCGATCTCACCACCTCACCTGAGTGGCTTTCGTACCGGGCAGCCCGTACTTGATCTACTGGCCGCCATGCCAGGAACCATCATGACGGACTTACGCACCTGAGGTTGTATCGTCGCCCTCCTCCAAACCAATGGGGTTGGGTCTATTCAATGGGGTTGGGTCTATTCTTCTTCCAAAGGGTCTGCTATTGAAATAACACACCCCAACAGCCCCAGTCTCCTGATAGTTCCAGTGAGCCTCAGATCAACGAACCAAGGCGGAACAAAACGTGTGAGTGGGCGCAGCTCAGGTTCGCTATGGGTGTGGAGAGGTCTCTTGCCCTCATTTTTCAAAGAAAACTGAGTTGGGCAGCAAATCCTTACTTGGACAATCAAGCGTGCTCTACTGGCAGCCGTGCGGCTGAAGTGGTGGTTTTTTCTACATTGATTGGTTGATATTGATAGCAACGACTACATTGAACATCCTGGTTTACTATTGGAGTATCTCGGGAACACTGGCTGACAAGTCACGGTTCCGGACGTACTACTACTTCTTGACCATTCTCCACTACTTGCAAGTCCAAGCAACCAGAAACAAATACATGCCAGGTTTTTAGTCCCTAAGTGAGTGGATAATGGGCACCCCTAACCTCCAATAGGCACCCCTTTGTGACTGCTGGTGGTTGTTCCGATGTGGCAATTCTCCATGTTCAATGGGACTCTCGATTCTCCCCGAATTTTGCGTCTACTCGGCACCAAATGAGGCCTGAAAGAAGGTCGGATGAAGCAGCAACGCCCACAGCAAAATCACCATCGCAAACCCCTAAGAGGCCAAGATTCACTCATGACATAGGGCGAAACTACCGGTTGTTTTCTGAAGATGTTCATCAACTCATCAACTTTTGGATGACAGTCATCTTCAAGAGTAGCTTATATAAACATGCTGAAGCAAGCCCATATCATAGGTTTTGAGATGGAGATCCATCGAACCGCCTACTACTCAGACGTCTCGATCTCTGCCGTGCTCCTCAGACGTCAACCATCTGACGTATATACTGTGTACATCTCGAGGGTGGATCAGGGAACCCTGGAGGACTTCAAGAGTACTGGTGGTTAAAACTTGAACCCCCAAACTGTGAACAACATGTTGTCCAACATGTTGTATGGGTATACCTAGCATAATTGTTATATCACATGGATGATGAACGACCTCACCACAACCTGAACGACCGCTAAACACGGTTCCTGCTTCAGCATGGGGTTGATCTGGTCCTGGGTTTCCTCCCACCCACCCTCCGCTGCTCCGCCCCGGTCCAGCAGCACTTGCCCTGGTAGCTCGCCTTGGAGATGGGCCTCAGTGCTCCATCCACGAGGCAACTCCGCTTGGTCACTCTGGAGTCACTCCCCAAACCATCGCGTGGGACTGGCTGGCCTTTTGATGTCAGGCGGCATTGATCCCAGTCCAATGGATGGTGCGGGATTGGATTTTTACGGCTATCTCCATAGACATGTTCTCTAAACATTCTAAACCTAAAGGAACACTTGTCATCCATGTTCCATGTATGGCACGCGATGTCACAGTTTTACAAAGACCGTCATTGATGAAAAGAAGATCTTAAAGTTTGCCAAATGTTGTGTCTCATATCTCCAGCAGGGAAGCAAATCCACTCCAACTTACTATCTAACTAACTAACTGTCTAACTAACTAACTAACTATCTATCTAACTAACTAACTAACTAACTAACTAACTATATAACTAACTAACTAACTAGCTAACTAACTAACTAACTAACTAACTGGCTAACTACTGTAGGTCTTCAAGTCTGCATGATGCCTTGATGATGCTGCACGTCCCAACCGCTGCGGTTAGAGCCGGATTCGGAAACTAAACGGTCGGATTCTGAAACTTGGATTCTGAAACTGGTATTCTGAAACTGGGGTTCTGAAACTAGGATTCTGAAACTGGGGTTCTGAAACTTGTATTCTGAGACTGGAAAGTCAGATTCTGCAACTGGTATTCTGAAACTGGGGTTCTGAAACAGGAAAGTCAGATTCTGCAACTGGCATTCTGAAACTGGTATTCTGCAACTGGTGATCTCCACATCATGCGATAGCGTGTGCCTGTGACTTCATCTTCGAAGCACATCCAAACCAACGTCATTAGCCCCCCACCCAACCCCCCCAGCCCCCCCTTGTCCCCATCGTGGGTCTCGACATCACGCCAACCCCCTCATCATTCACAAAAGTTGCGGAGTCCTAGTGAGGGAATCCACAATTTTGCGGAATGCCAGTTGCGGAACGCCAGTTGCGGAATCCCAGTTGCAGAATCTTAGTTGCGGAGCCCTAGTTGCCGGAATCCTGACAGTTGCGGAATCCTAGTTTCGGAATTCTAGTTACGGAATTTTAGTTGCGGAACCCTAGTTGCGGAATCCCAGTTGCGGAATCCTAATCTCGGAATCCTAGTTGCGGAGTCCCAGTTGCGGAATCCTAGTTGCGGAACGCCAGTTGCGGAATCCTGAGTTGCGGAATCCTAGTTGCGGAATCCTGACAGTTGCGGAATCCTAATTTTGGAATTCTAGTTGCGGAATTCTAGTTGCGGAACCCTAGTTGCGGAATCCCAGTTGCGGAATCCTAGTTGCGGAATCCCAGTTGCAGAATCTTAGTTGCGGAATCCTAGTTGCGGATTCCTGACGGTTGCGGAACCCTAGTTTCGGAATTCTAGTTGCGGAATTCTAGTTGCGAAACCCTAGTTGCGGAATTCTAGTTGCGGAATTCTAGTTGCGGAACCCTAGTTGCGGAATCC